CCTCTCGCGAATAATCCAGCTTGCTTGTGCAATGCTGGAGTCGCGGTTATTATGGTGCGGAAAAGGGTGTGGCACCTCGCCAATTTCAGTTGCGGAAAATTCACTTTAGTACAAATATAATATAATTTAAAACAATTTTCCTTCAAGCAGATCATTTTTCATAAATCAAAAATAAAAACTCCACAAATAACTATGTAATTTAAAAAAATTAAAATTGCACCGTTTAATTTGATTATTTGCAATTTTATAAACCGGATAAATTGATACACCTCAACTGTTTGTGTTTGCATCTAAAATGAAATATTAGAATTTTAAACCAATCAGCAGGTTGGTGAGAGGAGCAAAGATGTTGTTCTCAAACAATATTGGACCAACTTATTTTAAATCTCAGTGCAATTAATCGTGGGGTGATTATTGTTTTAATTTGCAATTTTTCGTCACAATTCAACCTCAGAAATTATTTTTCACCTTTTTGTTTAGGTATTTCCTAACATTTTATTAATTTTTTTTTTATTAAATTTATGCAAAATTTTATGCCAATTTTCCACGACTTGATGTTCACAGCCCACAGCGGGGAGCATTTGGTGATTATTATGCAAGAGCCGCGTGTGTTCTCGCTGCCGGTTGTTGGCATGGCAACAACTGGAACAAAACCCTTGCCTACCCCAACGCCGACCGCATTGACTCGCTCGCGCACACCCGTCCTCCTCCCGCTCACTCGCTCGCACACAAGAACAAAGTGCATTATGCTGCCGAGAGTGATTATGCTCTGCACGGAGAGAGAGAGAGCGGAAGAGGGAAAGGGTCGATGAACCCGCACACTTCCCAAGGCAACGTGAACTCGAGGAGGCAAATCGCACAGCATAACAAAAACACATGAAAAAAGTCACAGATGCAAAATCCAAACACCTCGGCAGCAGCCAATTAAAACAACTTCCCTTGGATGAACAAAAAAATAATGTATACAGATGTAAAAAAATACAGAATCTTATTAGTATTTCTAAGGAAATAATTAGCGCGCCTGTTACACAACTTTGATAAATTAGAGGGAATAAAATTTAGAGATTAATGTAGTGCATGATGTTGATTAGGAGACTTCCTGCCATGGATCTGGTTTACAAGTTTTCGATAGCGGTTCGCGGTTATTTTCACATTTTCTAATTATTGAAATGCGTAGTCCCTACCACAATCTAATTATGATTGAGGCGCAGTTTATTGACGCCGGCACGTGCTCGCATGAGTTTGGATTTTTCAAGAATTTCCCTGTATTTACATTTGCTGACAATGACTTTGAGAGTAAATTTTATATTTATATTTTAAATTATGAATATTTTCATTTGCTCAAATAATTATAATATCAGAATCAACCATAATAGGAGGAGAGACTCCACTATAAGTACAACATTTAATAAAAACCTTTTCTGTTCTAATTGGCATGATATGTATTGACATAATAAACTTATATTAACTCTCGATAACATTTAAAATCATTTAAATTCATTTTAGATAATTTTAAATATTAAATAAGCAGCCAAACATATTAATTATAAATCAAATTCAACACTAAACTTGGAAAGTATAAACATAAATAATTATTAAAAATGATAAAAATATCTGATTGTGCTGAAAATAAAATTAGATGTAAATTATTATTTTTAATTAAAAAGCGTCTACTAGATTTGTCACATTAATTTTTATCAAGAGTGGCAATACTAAATAATACTAACTTCACGAGCTAACACGCCTAAAACAATTATTTATTTGGTGGTGATTTGAATTAAAAATAGGATTTTGCTCCATAGGTTTTGTGAGTTATAAGATAAAAACTATATCCTACTGTACATGTTTCAGCTGCAGCCCTAATTCATTCGAGGAAAAGCCGATTTTAAATTCATCACCATGAATCAACAATCAACTCAACCCTCGATCGTGGAATTCTACAGCAAAATTTATTTGGTGGAGAAAAATTATTTTGAACCAATCAATATATTTTATGGATTCAAAAAATTCCCAAGAGTGTATTGAATTTTTGTTGCGAAACCTCCTGTGTCCCTTGACGCGGATACCTTTCGCATGTTCCAGCCTTGGAAGCGAAGCACCCCCTCATATACCGAGCGTACTTGTGTGTACATACTGCGTATGTACTTATGCTCTCTCGGTATGTGTGTTCCTTATTTACTTAACGACAAACACACTGAGAGCTCAGCTGCGTCCGAATCCCCGACCTGTCCTCACTCAAAAGCAAATAACGCACGCAGCGATTTCAAAAGAGAGCGAAGAAGAAGAGAGAGAGTTGAGCCCTCGTTCTCGCAATTTTCGCGCGCTCATTACGCTTTAATGTATACGTGCATGCAAATCGACCAACCCTTCCCTCTCTCGGACATAATATTTCACGGCTGAGTTGCTGCTGATCGTTATAATATAGAAGTCTGCTTTGAAAAAGTTGCTGGCACGCAAAGAGTCCTGCTCTGGCAGTTTGTTATTTTAAAAGCATTTATTTCATTGCATCACGTCGCAATTAATGTGATTCCTATTTGTCTGCCACAGCAAAACTAAAAGCAGCCGCCGTTACGCGGGCGCGTAATTGCGGTGGCGGACGGTGCAATTTCTCAAGTCATTATGCACGCAATCAAGTAACATTAAAAATACTTGTATAAAGAAAATTTTAATGTAAAACATCGCACGCGAAGATCAAAATATAATTATTGTTTGTCCCTTAAAATTTGGTTTTGAAATATACGACGATTATCGTGCCAAACTGACTTTCAGATAAAGTAAAAATATAACATTTGAGCAGCAATTTGCATTCGAGTAACCTTTAAATTAATTAATATTAATATTTTATGTTTTTCAAATTTTTTACTAGATGCATTTCTTGCAAAAAGCTGATTCGTTTCTTAATCTAATTTAAATTTTCGTTAAATTAAGATTTATCGTGTGCTACATTTCCGCCAAAATTGTGATGCATATCAGTTATTTTTTACACAGCTGTGCCTGATACCGTAATGGAATTTGGAAAAATTTAATTAAATTTATTAAATACCAGTTAAAAACATGATGCTAAATCTTTTTTATCAGTAATAATGTATCATGATTAATCATGTTAAATAAATTTGTATCTATTTATCTAAAAACTTATTGTTTGATTTAATATTCAATTTATTTTTACTTCGCGGAAACTAATAAAAAAAATTGAATAAAAAAAGTACCAGTACATTGTTAAATTAAATTGGAAAACTTATAGTATAGTTTTATTGTTCAAATGAAATAAACAGCTCTAAAATTTACTTCTGCATACTTAATTTTTTTTCTTTTTAATATTGAAAGATTTTAAATGAGGGTGCTGTGAAGACCTCTCATTTAATTAAAAAAGCGTGCATTCAATTTGACCACTTGTGGAAAACTTGACGAGCTCTCATCCGCTTATGCTTTTCTCACTCAATTACCTGCGACGGGCTCTCGAAATATATCGTGTGAGAATTGTCAACAAGCCCGTCGACGCAATTGGTGTTCACGAGAGCGTGATCTAATTCGTTTTCATTTTTCTTTTTTAATTTGAATACAAAAAGTGTCCAGAAATAATAATAAGGGCTGCGGTTCTTTTTAATTTGCTGCGTGTGTGGAAATGAAAAGATTTCCTGAAAGCAGCACCTCTGGGGAAAAAAATAAATCGACGCGCTGCATCTTCATCTTTCTTTCTCTCTCCCCTTTTCACTCGCCAGATTTATTATATGTGGATTTTTATATTAAACACAAAGCGTCACTCACTTGTGCTGCAGTGCGAAGGACCGCGGGCGAAGGAGGTGCATTCGGATTTATATATAGAAATTATATTATTATTTTTTTTATCCTCAAGAGACGTCTTGAAGCTGCAACGACAGATTTCATGATTTGTAATTGTGGATGCTGCAGCCGTGAAAAGAGCGGGAGCTCATCTCCAGACACACCTGGTTTTGTGGCTCTAATCAAAGCAATTACACGCACTTGATTCGAATGAAATTTATTACACACCACACTCGAGCCATAAAACCGGCCACTATATACGGCTCCGATGTATATCAGTAACAGATTTTGTTGCTTTTTCTTTTTCAAAACGTATAAATGTCTGCATGTACCAAAACGCTCACAGGAGGAGAGAGAGATGAAAACCGGCAGCGCTTTTCAAGAGTGATTTGTGACTGGAACGGACCAATTAATCGGACTTTTGTACCACAGAAAAAGAGTGAAGACCAACGGATGGAGAGGCGCGCGCGTAAACTTTTTATGCTTTTTATTACAAAGAAAATAAGAAAATCTCACATTTCGTCTGTGGTGCTAATTTTGTCAGCACGTTAGCCGCAAAGAAATAACGTATCAAAAGTTTGTAAAAAAAAATTGACTGGGGACTGGCAGTTCTAATACTTTTTCTGTAGAATTTTGTATTCCCAGAATTTCTTTTAATTATTTCTAATATAATTTTTATTATACTTTATGTTATGAATAAAAAAAATTAATCAAGTATCATAATAAGCGGCTAAATTTTGGAAATTTTATGCACTTAAGTCTATCGACTTATTATTTTGAATCTTAATTTTTCTTTGTTGTTACTTCCAGAAGTAAAATATCGCTCCAAGAAGACGTGCAAAAAAGAATATTCGTCCCATCTTTTTCTAAATTTTTATTATATTTTTATTTATTTTATTTTTAAGTTATCCATGGAATATTTTGGCTTTAGTGAAATTTTGAGTTGCAAAACATGCTGCAACGGGACCGACGTGCCGAGGGCAGTGAAAAATCAAATGCTCAAGAGTGTCTGGCGAAAAAGAACACAAACATGCAGGAGTAGGGCGAATTTTCCATGCAAAGGGGCTTAAGGGGCATTATTACTATTTATGCGCGCCACGTGGTCCCAATTCAAAATTTTCGCGGGCGATTTTTTGTTTTCCTTTTCCTACACGTGTTGCTCACCCCTTCACCTTTCACGCAGTTTGTTTACAACTTGTGTCGCGCGTTACCGGCATTTTCGCTGCACCCGAATTTTTTAAATTTGTGCAAAATGGACCTTTCAAGTTCATTTCTCGTCGTTTGGTTCACCTTTTCAACGAAAGATCATCCTTTTCGTGTTCTGGAAAAGTTCTACGCTCTTCTATATGGCACCTTCACAAAAAGGTCAGTAAAATATGTATTTTTTCGAATTCTCCTCTCATGGCTCTCATTATTATTTTTATTATTTTTTCTCAATTAAAGCGTACCGCAGTACCGATAAATTTAATCACGAATTCTTTAAATAAAATCAGACTTGGTAATTTTAAAAAAATTCTGAAGGCTTGAAGGGTTTCGTCTGCACGGTGATCAGCCAAAAGCATAAACCTCAAGGAACGTTTCGACCTCCATGCCTTATCAGAATAATAACTTGCATATTTGGCTGATTTTAGTGATTTAGCCACGATGACAAAAGTCCCTCCAGGTTCTAATGCTTTTGGCAGGAAAATTGCAAACCATCGAAGAACCCTTGTTCAGGAGTACCAATTTTTCCATAGAAATTTCAATGTAAAATGAATTTAATTTTATGAGGATTAAAAATTCATATTATTGAACTGGGCCTTTCATAAATTAGATTAAATTATTGCATTGAAACACTGAAAATCAAAACGATAAAAATTAAAATAGAAAAAAGAAAACATTCAATCCTGCTGGTTTATGTAATTTTGGCGATTGGGGTACGTTTTGCTTGCTGCTTTTTCTCCGAGTCTGAAATGAGATGGGAATTAATGCGCAATAATAATTCTAATGAGCCCATTACATGCCTGTTGTATGAAAAACGCTTAAGGGTGACTTGAGCACCCCAAGGCTCGAGCGACGAAATAAAAGCCATCGTTCCTCTCGAGAGGACCAAAGTGGCTCGTGCTCGCGATGCAAATTAGCAATTGCAGCAGCCCAACAGGTCTCTCGGAGGAAAATTTAATTTTATATGTTGCACAACAGGTTGCTCGAGATGAAAATAAACATTGCCGAAGGGTGAACGAGGCTCGAAATTATTAATGACCGGCGAGACGCGCATGCGAAATTGCTCGGTTTACGATTTCATACTGCAGATTATGTTACTTTAACACTCGAACGCATCAAGCACAGTTGCGAAATTTTTGACAAATGAGCCGAGAGATTTGCTCGTTAATCGAACCTTCAACCCTGCCAACGAAGGTCAATTTCGTATTGCGGAACAGATTTCTCAGGCGCATTGAAAACATGCATAAATTGTATTTTTTTTAAACAGAGCTCAAAAATGTATTAATTAATTAACCAAAACATTTCATTCACGGACACGTTTTAAAACAAATTTCCAACTGTACATTTTATTTTTGACTCGCGATTTTGTGTGCATAGCACACAAAAGAAACTATTTTTAGATGAATTTTAACTAAAACTTTATATAATTAAAACTCATGTTGCTTTATGTAATATGTGAATTTTACTGCTATAATTTGAATGAAAAAAAAAATGGAACTCAAATACCTAATTTTGATGATAATTAAAAGAAGTTGATTAGTTTAATATTTTTTCAGAAATTTCACATAATGAAATATTTCTGTATTACTATCATATCATAACTACCATAAGAAAATTTGGGACCATTTTGAGTTCAGCACCACAATCTGAAAACTGATTTGATTGGAATAGAGAATACTGGACTATATGTAAATAATATTTATTTTATTTTATTACTATAAAAATATTTCATTTTTACAGTTCAACTTGAAATAAAATACAATTTTATTTATTTAATTTTAAATACTGATTTATTTTTTGTTTCTATAATAAGTGCCCTTATACGCAAAACTGACTTCACTTTTTTAATTCCATACTAATTTTAGTTTCAGAAAAAGTAGCCATATTAAATTATCTTGTAATACACATGAATCATTAAGCATCATGTTCACATGAACATTACTAACGCTCCTTCTATCATATGTAATGTTTTTGATATATTGATATACTTATAAAATTCAACCCATAAAATTATTATTTAGATTATACCAGATTGGATATTGTTCTGGTGTGATCAAGTTCAATTTAATCCACTTAATTGGTAATCAGGAAAAATTTGCATGATTATTTGATATTATCAGACATTACAATAGATTTAAAACAATACCTCATTGTTAATTTGAGAAGAGATAAAACTACTAGTTGATTTGAAAATCGAGAGCAACAAGGAGTATTATAAATAATTAGGCAGCTTTGAACTTTGAACACGGTTCTTGATTTATTTTTCTCTCATCTTAATCTATAAGATTAAAGTTTAAACAAAGACCACAAAAGGTGCTAAATTATAATTGTCTTGCTAAACTGTGAGTCATTCTTGGAAAACGATGTTGATGATAAGTTGATATATGAAAATTGATTTACGACGCAGACTTGTGAGAGCGAATTAGTCGGTTGAGATAGAAAGAGAGAAAAGGATGCACGCGCATGTGATGACAGCTGCTCGCCGTTTTATGGACCACTTTTACGAGCTTCCTTTTGCACAATCTTCCCGCGATTAATTACGAGACTGCCTGTGGTTGACCACAAAATATTTGTATAAAAGAGGTGGAATTATTGTTGTAATTGCGACGATGGGTGCAATTAATCGAGAAGAAAAGGAGAAGTAGCGGTGGAGAAAAATTATAACGAGGTCAACGACTCGCTTGCGGTTTTTTTTACAATTTATTGTTAGATAATAACAAAACCAAATAAAACTTTCAGTAACATAAAATGTAAATATAGAATGATGTGTCGAAGAAATTAAAGTCTAATACTTATTACAGTTTGCAAGTTCGACCAAGAGATCAGCCGATGGGGCGGAGCCTCAATTATCTTTCTTTCTTTAATATTTATATTGTTGCTGGAAAGCTGTAAAGTCAAAGTCGCGCCACAACATCACGCCACGCGAGTCGCAGATTGTTTAACAACACGCGTCTTACGCAAGTGCCAACAACACTTACAATTAAGTGTCTGCGATTGGTATTCTGATCAAACGCTTGAAAATTACAAGTGGATGAAAAGAAAAGATTGATTTTAAGAATCTACCAGATCATCAATTTAGATAACTTAAATTAAATTGTCTTTGTTCAACTTTGGAACTATGTTACATCAGAAATTAATATTCACAATTTTTTTTCTTCAAAATTTGATGAAGTTGAAAAAATTTATTATTAAAAAATTTTTATTTTATATTATTTCATAATCTGCTGATTTATGTTTTCGTGCCGATGTACGTACTTGATTTTTAAAATTAATTTTCAATATTGCTTTGAAAAGAATATTTATTTTGCATTGCACATTATCTTCATTTAAGTCTAAAGGATAATTTTTAATTTCCAGGCTTTAGAGGAAGATAGTGTTGTGTCACAGTACCCAGTATAACATGAAATTTAAAAATTTTAAGAATCACTAATGTAAGTAATATGTAATAATATTAAAGTATTATTAAAATTGAAATTATATTTAAATAATTACTATATAACTATAAGATCAATCATAAAGAGTAGATTTTCATTAAAAACTCTACAATTGATTCAGTTTTTAGTTGATTAAACCATAAAAAATCCTCCCGATGGTTTCCCTCCCTAATTCACGGCACCGTATTTGTAAAAAAATAATTATACCTGCCGTCACTCCTTTTTATTCCTCAAAGGCTTCTGATCAGCTCTGAAGGAAAATAAACAAGACTCTCAGCTGCACAATTAATTTTGTATTAAAGGATCTGTGGGGCGACTTAATTGACATCTCAATGGCCATAAAAGAGGCCAACAACCGTAATGATAATCTCTCGCATAATTATTTTCCCGGCCGATTGTTTAATTAAATAAATAATAAAAACGAAATAAAAAAAGCTATCAAGCCGTTTTGATATTTGTGTGTGGCTAAAAAACTCACAATAGCCCGAAGCTTGATCGAGAGTGGAAAATATTATGAATTAGATTTTTTTTAAAGTCGCAGGGCGGAAGCAGTGAGTGCTATAAGCAATAAATCCATAGACTGTAAAGTAATTACAGCGCGCGGAGGGTCTTTATATAATTTTGTTTAACAACTCTCTTGAAATTTGAATATGTCATATTTATACATTTCTTATTCTTTATTTTCCACTTCCCGTTTTTATGCCTTTTGTCTTTTTCGTGTGTGTCGGAGGGGATTAGGACCGATCGGCTAATTGTGTGTGAGAAACGTTGCACAGGTGGCTACTAATTCGGAAACAATGCGATCGGAGATCGTTTTCGGCCAAGATTGCTTGCGTGTCAATTGAGCAGGGGTGTTTTTATTGCGACAAAGCTAAGTAAGACAATAAGGCGGCCAACATCTTATTTGGAGGGAACAATTGAATGCGAAGATTATAAGCAAAGAGGAAATTAGAGTTTTGTCCAGGATAATTTGCGTGAGAAATACTTTCTTCGGAGGGAGTTTCTTTGCAATGATACACAAATTTTGAGACATTTGGGTTTGAAAACTTCAGCTTTAAGTAATTATAAAAAAGAAAACAACATTCGTAGTTTAGCGATATTTATTATTGTTCTGAAAGTGGTTTTAGAAATTGAGTATTTTATTTGGTTGCCAAGGATTTTATTACATGACATTCAAAATCCAGATGAGCCAGTCTACAAAATTTTATGGAAAATCAAAGAAATATGAGATGTAAACTAATTTTTTTCCATTGTTTAAAAAGCAAGCTTAATAGGTCAAATTTTTTAGGTTTTAATTCTTTATCATCCTAACTATAGGTACTTGAAAATAATTTTATTTCAAAGTCTTTACATTTTATTATAAAAAACCTTCCAGTTTATTAATTATTCTTCATTAAATGCAGACACTCAAAAGAGAAGGGAAATGTTAATACAATTCATTTCAGCTGAGATAAATTAGATATTTATAAAATTTTAAAGTTAAATTCTATAAGGAATATTAAATAGCTAGAATTCTACAACTTTATTTTCCAGAAAACGTTAATTATTGTACTTTTTTTAAACTATTTATTAATAATGTTTCATCACTTTTTCTCTGACTAGAAAATAAAATTATGAAGTGAAACGTGAAGAGACTCTCGAAAATGCGCGAATCTGTTGAAAGCAGAAGGCCTTATTGCAAAAAGCCCAGCGGGTGTGGCGCTGTGTGCGTCTCTCTCTTGCCCTCCC